CCTCACAAATGAGAGTAGTGAGGTATAGATTTTCAACACATGAAGATGATCCCTAAAGGAACTTGTAATATTCTATTTATCATAATTGATTCCATAAAAGCAGTACCATAACTTTCGCTAGTGAAAATAACATAAGAAAGTACACCTTTTGCTGTTCATTAACCGCGAAGGAACTTTCAATCAAGCGAAACTGCATTGTCTTTAGTGCGAACGAACGTTCATTAACGCTTAGGGAGTTTCAAGAGCGTGAAGGGAGAATCATTAACATATTTAGCATAGACATGGACAATCATGCATAACTGGGCGCAGATTCATTAACGTTTTCAAACCTTCATTAGCCCATTATGTGCATTCAATAAACTACAACAAACATACAATACCAAAATACGGACATTTAATTTCGTCATAGTTTTTGCAGTCAAATTTCAGCGTGAAATATGACTCGTTACAGCTATAAAAGTACTACGGCTTGTTTTAAACACATTGTGTTGGAATATAGCAATGCCTCCGCGTCGACATACTAGAAATCGAATTTCGAGCGAAAGTGAAAGAGCGTCTTGTAACAGCGTATGAGGACCCGGCCGAGGATTATCTAGCGGTTGCCGCTACATTGGGGGTTAATAGTTCTACCGTAAGAAGTATAGTTGCCCGCTATATTCGTGACAGAATAGTCGCTGACCTTCCACGTGGTGGAAGAAACAACGTTAAAGTCGATGATGAGTGAGGCAATGCTTGGTGGACATTGTGGATGGGGATTGTAAGCTAACATTACATGCAATAAACCAAGAACTACAAAGAAGGCTTCCAAGAAAACCACAAATTCATGACCGAACTGTGGGCAGGGCACTCGAYGRTATGSTCGTTTCTCTGAAACTAASTAGACGATTGCCAGCCGACAGAAACCGACCTGATGTGCTTAACAGTCGCTTTGAGTATGCAAACTGGTTCCTCAACACAGGTGTGATAGGTCATTACATATTTGTAGATGAATGCGGATACAATATCTGGACCGCACGAAGCTACGGAAGAGCAACCCAGGGAGAGCGGGCTACAGACAGGTTTGTGGACAACGAGGGCGGAATGTCACCTGTATTCTGGCCGTATCACCAAGGACTGGATTATTCCATCATTCAGCAGAAATAGGAGGAATGAATGCTCAGAGGTTTGCCAACTTCTTAAATGATACTTACCAACGACTCCCAGCTAATGGCAACGTTTATTTCATCTATGACAATGCACCAGCCCATCGAAACGCAAACAACCCAGGTCCTAACAGCCACCTCAAACCACTACCTCCATACAGCCCATTCCTCAACATTGTTGAAGAGGCTATTAGCTGTTTCAAAGCAGCTATAAAAGCTCATTTATCTCAGCCAGCACAACAACGCATGATGAATAATAGAGGCAAAGCTAGAAGACAAGGCCTTCCACTTGGCGAGTGGAGAAAACAACTCCTACTCAGAGCTGCCACAAGAAACGTACAACCATATGCAAACTTATTTACCAAGATGCTTAAATAGAGAGCAAATTCAAGGATGAAGATAATTTTTGTATGTAAAATTTCACACTTATTGAGCACTCTTTAAATCCTAGAAATAAAAACTATGACGAAATTAAATGTCCGTATTTTGGTATTGTATGTTTGTTGTAGTTTATTGAATGCACATAATGGGCTAATGAAGGTTTGAAAACGTTAATGAATCTGCGCCCAGTTATGCATGATTGTCCATGTCTATGCTAAATATGTTAATGATTCTCCCTTCACGCTCTTGAAACTCCCTAAGCGTTAATGAACGTTCGTTCACGCTAAAGACAATGCAGTTTCGCTTGATTGAAAGTTCCTTCACGGTTTATGAACAGCAAAAGGTGTAAGTCACTTTTTCTGGTGAACGATACAATTATTATTTCAAATCAATTAGGGAAAGACAACTAAATTCAGCATTACAACAAGAACCTGTCAACAAAGATTTTGGAAGGTATGGTATGAGGTGTTGGTCTTATTGTAAAAAATATCTGAATACTGAATTACTACATTTAATGGTGCATTTTTTTTTCTACATTTCTTTTGCTTTCAGCAGAGATGCTCTCTTAAACAGAGGACGAGACAATAATGCATTTGACTCTCCATCATTACAGGAAAATGACGACATGTCAGTWACTGACATGCGTAGTCAACAGCAACAAATGATTGCAGGTACTGTTGAGTGCAACTCCTGCATTTGACATTGCTGTGATTTTTCCTTCCATCAATGAAGAGTATTATAAGTAGCCTGCTTGCAGGCGTTCCTTGTAAAGCAGGCTATATTGTAGGTAATCTGGAAGATATCCCTTTAGAGGTGAATGGCTTTGTAAAGCAGGCTATATTGTAGGTAATCTGGAAGATATCCCTTTAGAGGTGAATGGCTTTGCAGAGAAGGATATATTACTGTAGAGGAGGATATCCTTGCAGATAGTGTAGAGAGCTTGTGAACATTCAAAAATGATTCTAACATTTTTCCACTAATATTCTATTATAAAATATATTGTTATTGGATTTCAGAGCAAGACAAAGGCCTTGATGCATTATCTAGTATAATCCAGCGGCAAAAGATGATAGGACATGCAATAAGCGATGAGGTYGATACACAAAATGGTAATTTCCTTTCCACATTACAAACATGCATTATACCTAGTGCTACCATAGCAACAGCACACAGGGACCCCAATACCTTATATCCTGAACTACAGCCAGCAGCAGCAACCATCTCCATAGCCTCCTTAAACCACTCCTCTCAATGGGACGTGTTGCTTTCCTGGAAGATACTGTCTTGATTCCTTTGGAAACAAGCCTTYTTTTTTCACTCTTTCTACTAAGACTGGAAGTAAAGTCTGTTCGAGGTCTTTTTTAAGTAAAATTTATAAACCTCTTTTTTCAATTATGATAATTCTTAAATTTGCAAAACGAGCTCCAATAGACACTCTTCTCACTTTCCTCCACTGACATATTTTTTTTGCTTTTTCTCTGATGTTTGGGATTCCTGTAGAGCGAGTAGGGACTGGTACAGTTTTCAATGGAGGACAAAAACCCCTCCCCCACCCCCAAGTGATTTTAATCTCAGCACAGGAAATCTAAAGCAGAAGTTTGCTACTTCCTCAAAGGATATCTCATATCAAATATTATCTTATCATAGTTCCTTTTCTATTATTTTTCCATTTCATTTTTCTTTTTATTTGCAGAAATTATYGATGACATCACAGGTCAAGTTGACACAACCAATCAGAGACTTGTTAGAGAAAATGCACATGTCAAAAGAGTCACARCAAAATCATCGACATGTGGTATGTCAACATAAGACTCCATCACCTCATTTATTGAAAACATTAACCTCAGTTTGGGCTTCCTGTGCTCTACCCAATAAACTTGGAGGACACAGGAAACYCAAAACAAAAACATTTCAAGCTGTGGTAATCTTATGCTGGTGTTGACTATTGAGTGTCTGTTTTGTCTCTCTAGGCATGCTGGTAGTAATWGTGCTCCTCCTCATTGTCATTGTAGTAGTTGCAGTTGTACCACATTAGTACATGTTATTGGCAGTACATGTACATGGAATTCATAATTACAGATATGTCATGATTATTTTAAATAGAGAATTAAAGGGCCGCGTGCAACCAAGAACCTTTGCGCGATTTTCTTGATTTTGAACCGATCAGAAAGCACGTTTCAACGAAAGAAACGACCGCAAAGGTTCATGGATGCGCGTAGGCCTTTAGCATTATAAAAAAATATGGGAATACCCAGAGCTACAATACAGTTTCATTTATGTTGAAATGTAAGCTTGGGATGCAAAATTAGTAGTCTTCATTCATACTCACAATCCTTTTTAAATTGAACCTATAGTAGAAAAGGAAGCGATTCTGTTTATATAAGTAGAGTGCGCTTATTTCTTTATTTTACGAGTTGATTCAAAAAGGGTTGTCTGGTTAAAAGAAATGAAGTTTGCAGTAACTGAAAGGAACTTCAGTTAGCTAGATTTATGTTCAATCTCAGTTGTTGTCCAAGTTTAATTGAGTGCATCTTCTTAAAAGTACTGACCAGCACATTTCTTTTCGGTTGTGAAATATTCTTTGGATTCATTGATAACCTTTCCAATTTTCCCGAACTCAGTAAGAAAAAAACCTGAGCTTTGAGCTGCGCCAGTCTTATATGCATATGAAGTTCTAACAATAGCCTAATACATTGTGTTAATATAGATATTACATCATACTAGAAACCTCTATTGTAAGCATCAGAAGGTTCTGGAAAATCACTTTATGGCATAAAGGACACTTGGAAGAAACGCACTGCGCAAACTCGGAAGACGTACGATTCCGATGTTTTGAGTGTTGCACAAAATTGCAAAATTTAAAATACTAAAAGGCTAATGTTTTTCCTTATGACAGTGGCATGTTATTTTTATCTTTTACCACTTACTAAAGTATATACAAAAACGTTTTACGATATAAGAAGAAATATATTTGCCTATCATTTGTACGACTGAACTCTTCGCGATTAACCGCATTTTTGTTGTTTAGACATACGCATGCGCAATGCGCTTCTCCCAAAATATTCCAAAAAAGCATACATTTAAATACAACTTACTACAGAATCAAAGAAAATCCATAAACTACTAAGCTAAGGGAATGAGGATCAATACCCCAATATACATGTTTGTAAATTTGGCAAATGCCATTCTGATTTGATATTTGGTAAAATATAAGAGCAAAACTTAAAGTTGAAGTCTGCATATTTACTTCTTGATTTGTCTATGGATTCATTTGTTTGAATCTGAAGTCAATGTACTGTTATGGATATTATACCCTTGTATGAATCGTAACCCAGTCCTGGCCGTGTCGAAAGGAGACCATGGCTCGACTAGTATGAGTCGATGATCGTCCATTAAAAAGCGATCTATAGAAGCTCTTAAAGTCTCTACGTATGTCTTCCAACTTCCACAATATGATCACTGCTGTCAGGGTAGAACAAAAGGAATATGCAACTATCGAGAAACGTTGAGCTGACATCGAATCGATGGACTCTTCTTCGTGTTCTTTCCACGCCAGTATTATTAACGAGATGAGCAAAGGCATATGTGTTAATACAAAAATTCCAGTAACACCCACATCATGGCGTCAATTTGCTTCTGGCGTTTGAGCAACTTCTTAGGTCCTTTCTTTACTCCTTGAATGTAACTAATTAAGCGATTGCGTCTCCCCCTTCGACTCCTTCGGATTGCAATTTTACACAGAGCAAAAAGACGGGCTGCAACGACTACAAAAATAATTGAAACGAGTAGATCCACCACGAATTGAGCCGCCTTTGTAATCAAGCTCATTAAACCAGCAACTGTCGCTAAAACGCCACCAACTGCTACTATGGCCGATATTGCAGATCTGCTCCTTGAGCGGCTGCAATTCAATACTCTGCAGTACATCTGTGCCGCTATGGCAGTGAGGGTTGCAAAAGAAATAAGAGACACAGTGCCTGCGGAAATGAAGGTAACATCTCCTGCTGTACAAGAAACAGACAAATATTTTTTCATCAGCTCAGCAGTCGTCTTAACTATGAATGATGTATCTACCAGAATTCCCGTTCCAAGGTTCCATGCCACGAGGGTTAACAGGAGTTTTGAGAACTGTTTATTGTCAAAAGACGTTGTGCTGACGTCACGGTACAATGACAAGAAGATCGGGACATTCAGGGACAAAATCAATAGCATTAGCAAAATGCTCATAAATAGTGCAAACCTGTTAACACCGACCACTTTGTCAACATTCAGCGAGAGACAACTTGGAAAACTGCTTGTTCCAGACATGATTGGTTCTCTTCAGTTGCTGTATTTCTGAATCATTAAAGGAAAACGGACTGAGTTTATTTCTTTCGGAAAGTCTTTGCATTTTAGAATATAYAGTACTCGGACCCTTTAAAAACAACCGCTTGTCATCTTTCTCACGACGTTTGGTGAAGTTTCAGATAAATATCTTATTTGTAAGACGCCCAATATCCTATTTGAAGTAAAGAGGTCGCTCGCAAAAACAACTCGTTTGTGACGTCATAAAATAAGTCTTATTGTATTATATTGTGATCTTACGTTGAATGTACGTGAAATCGAACGTGAAACTTCATTGTCAGTATTTTTCGATCCAGAATTTGTCATAGAACTGTAACCACTTACCTCACTTTGTCAAAATTACGAAATATCGAGGAACTGTAGCCTTGCTTGCCTGACGGAGAAACATGCAAATCCACAGACTGGACAAATTATAAACTTGATGCAAGATTGAGTTTTATAAAATTGCTTATAAGCATAAAAGTCATTACGGCAGGGGTTATTGACCCGGAGTTGTTGATTTCAATAATCGAATACAGAAGTATGTCGATTTTTAGCGCGCAAATGCCCAAAAATAATATCAATTTAAGGTATACTGTATTGCCAGATGTCATGGGCTTTCTCGTCAAGATAATCATTATTCACGTAGCAAATTAAAGTCATCAAGTTTATACATTGAAACATCATAAATAGGGAATATTTCCCTACAGTGACATTGTTGTGTCGATCAGCAAAGCGTGGTGAAGTCAAAGAGAGTGGGTGAAGCGTATCTCTAATTTTTTCGTGAAAGCAACCATGTCGACCTGTACATTGTTTACTACTCTGCTTGTTTTCTAGAACAACTTATTTTTATTACTATGCCTGGATGCAACCAAACACAACAGCCATTGGCTTCTAGAATACGGCTTTTTCCCGTTCAAAGCGAGCAACCGCTGCTCTCCTGCTGTAGTTGACTACATAATCCAAACAGTCCATCTCGCTAGTTATCCAATCACCATCAGATGTCGCAATGATTTATTTTTAGACAACCAATCACAACGCGCGCAAATATAACACGGCACCTGATTGGTCCTTGTTGATCGTGCTTGCAGAATGTATTCCATGAATGTGAACAAAGTATAAAGCTTTCATTATGACAGTTTTAGAGGTATTTTCCCTGCATTGGTTACAGGGGGTGGGCAAGTTGTTTCTCTCTTGTGTACCCTCCCTTATTTGTGACACGTTGCTTCCATAAAATCACTCTTGATTTACCACACTTTTAGKATTTGCACTTCAGTAGAGAGCAGACTCTCAAAACAGTGAAAAGTCTGTTTATAACGTTTAATTGGTTTAGAATCGGACAATGGAAAAATAGCATACTTAACATAATTCAAGAGAATTTCCCATGATTTCAAGAAAAAACGACTGCTGGTCTTAATGACGAAGATCGATCATTTCGTATGTAAAATGTTCAGAAAGTACGTTGTTTGCAGCACTAGTGTATCCTCTTTTGATTATTATAATTGTTTGAATTTCCGTTTGCGTTTGAGAGGCGCGGACTGGCTTCTAAACAAACGGATAGAGTATGTTGTTCCATATTTGGCCGCTCTGCCCGCTCTCATTTTGGGCACGTCGTTTTATACAATCAGTGTTCATAATTTTGTGTGTGCTTTTCCTTTTTTAATAAGACATTGGAATGGTTTACTCTATTCCTGGCTTATTCTTTAGGACTTAAAAGACATAATTCAATTGTTCATATTCAGGATAGCCGCCATGATGATTTTTACATTTTAATGCAAATTAACCACGCGGTCCTCCAGGGGGAAAAAACAAATTTTGATATTTTCTATTTTCTATTTTCAAAATTTGGGGTCTGTGGAAAAGCCTTGCAATGGTTTAAGTCTTATCTCTGTGGTCGTACTCAATTTGTATCTGTTAATGGATGTTCTTCTAAAGTTCTTGGTGTTGATTGTGGTGTTCCTCAAGGATCCGTTCTTGGTCCGCTACTCTATCTCCTGTATACGTCTCCACTTGCTGAAATCCTTCGCCGCCATGGTATGTCCTTCCATTTCTACGCCGATGATACCCAGCTCTTCATGCCCTTCTCCTGTTATGATAATCTTGATATGAATAATGCGATGAAGAGAATAGAAGCCTGTCTATGTGATGTAAATACTTGGATGACTGAAAACAAACTGAAACTTAACAGGGACAAAACTAAGTTATTATCTTTATCCTCTAAATTTGGTCCAAAATTGTCTGCTCCTCTTCTGCACTTTGGTGATGAAATTATCAAGTCTTCTACTAGCGAAAGAAACATTGGTGTGATTTTTGATTCTGAAATGTCTTTGGTTCCACATGTCAATAATATCTGTAAAACGTCATTTTATCATCTACGTAACATTTCTCGTATCCGTAAATTTATATCTGTGAGTACTGCTGAAAAACTTGTCCATGCCTTTGTAACTTCAAGACTTGATAATTGTAACTCTCTTCTATATGGTATATCTGGTGTTCACCTGGATAAGCTACAACGTGTTCTTAATTCTGCTGCCCGAATTGTTACTCTCTCTAAACGTCGTGATCA